CCTGTGGCACCTTAAAGGCTAACAAATCTATTTTATATATTTTAAAATATAAAAAAATGTGTCTGTCTGCAAGTCTGTTTGTTCAGGAACTCCTCCTAAACAGTAAGAGCTACGGCCACCAAATTTAGTGTGCAGCTTCCTCTTCTCCTAACTTAAAGCAAGGTCAGGGTTTGGTTGTGCCAAGGAGAAGCCGAAGCCCTGAGAAAAGTAGTTTTCCATAACATGCAAAGGGAGAGGCTGCTCTTCCAAGGGACACGATATAAAGGGCAGTGCACCCACAGGGGAGAGCTATATACAGGGTGTCCACTGAGGGCAGACACATCACCAAGGGCATGACCAGCAGGGCTAGGGTTCCACTATCTTGCCTGTGAGCACACCAGTAAATAGACCCCCTGCCCCAAGCCCTTTGTTCCCCTCGTAGGCCTTGGCCTCAGCTCCCCTCTTCTCCCGACAGCTACAGAATATGGAGGGGCCGCTGGAGGCCTGGACTGGCCTCTGAGCCTGCCCTGTCTGCAGGCAGTGCAGGCTGGAGTGGGGAGGAGGAGGTGAAGGGTAAGGCAGGCCATCAGAACCTTGTCTCCCCCCCCCTTACAAGCTGCAGGAAATTGGGGGGGGGAGAGCTGCTGGAGGCTGAGGTGTCCCCATAGGCAAGCCCCTCCATACAGGCTGAAGGCAACAGGGGGCCTACTGGAGGCTGGGGCCAACTCCCCAAATTTCACCCCTTCCTGGATAGGCTGCAGGACACGGGGAGGAGGCGTTAGAGGCAGGGACCAGCTCTGGGACCTGACCCTCTCCTACCCCGAACCTGCAGGCCATAGGAGAACTCTGAAAGCCTGAATCGGGCCCCAGAGCCTGCCACCCCCCATGGATAGCCTGTAGGCTGTGAGGAGCTGTTACAGGCCGGGGGCAGCCCTCAAATCCTGCACCCCCTGTGCAAAGAGCAGTGTTGTCTTCAAGTTGTCTTTGTCAAGTACAAGTAGAGTCTCAAGTCCCTAAAGTCACTTTTGAGTCAAGTCCCAAGTCAAGTCTCAAGTCTTAATTTAAAAATGTCAAGTCACTTTTGTACAAGCTATCAATATCGGCATTTTCGGACAATTTTTTCACCATGTCGATTTAACAGACTTAGCAAGTCTCAAGTCAAGGCTCAAGTCACAAACAATGAACCTGAGTCGAGTCTCAAGTCGAGCCACCTAGGCGACTTAAGTCGGACTTGAGTTCAAGTCGTGGGACTCGAGTCAACAACTCTGGCAAAGAGGCTGCAGGGGGACTGCCCTCAGAGCCTCACCCAACCTTCCCTCCCCAGACAGGCTGCAGGTCAGGGGGCTGGGCCTGGAAGCCAAGACCATTCCTCTGAGCCTTGCCCCTTCCTCCCCCGCAATGCAGCCGCAGCCCTACATGAGGAGCTGCTGTCTGGAGAGTGCTGCCATTAGAGTTGCCAGGTGTCCGGTTTTGAACCGGACAGTCCGGTATTTGAGCTTTCTGTCCAGGAAACAAATTGAGAAAATACCGGATTTATAAATGTCCGGTATTTTCTAATTAAGTTTTATTATTATCATGAGTATCAGTGCATAGTTGCATACTGCCTGGTTGGTAGACATGCTCACACTGCGTGAGCGTGTATCAGCCAGGCAGTACGCAACTACGCAGTAGAGAGGAGGGAAATGGGGGCAGAGCCGGGGTGGGATGGAATCCCCAGGGCTGGATTCACCCATGTGTCCCACCGGGACCGTGCGTGGGACAGGCAGCACCCCAGGATCTGTGTGCGCCCAGGCCAGCCCCACTTCCTGCCGGCCAGTTCTCCTCCCCCCTTCCGTCCTCCCCGGGCAGTCCCGCTCCCCCCGACCTCCTTCCAGCCAGGGCCACTCCTCTCCCGACTGGTTCTCCCCCTCCCCCCCCCCCCCCCGCCATCTGAGATCAAGTGTGTCTGGTATTTTTTTTAAAATCATCTGGTAACCTTAGCTGCCACGGCCCCATGTGATGAGCTGCTGCCACAGTAGTACCATTCTTGCCGCTCCAGGGTGGCCCCGGTAAGCTCCCCTCACTTGGGCCTCCCAGCCCTTTGTCCTGGGCCCCCTGCCCCTGAGTCTGCCCCTCCCACTCCCTGCCCTTCCCTCTGCACCCCCTCTACATGCCTGAGCCTCCCCCACACCCTAACCCCTGCCTTGAGTTCTCCTCTCCCATCCCCCGGTCCTATACAATCATGTAAATAAAACATGTACATTTTCCCTTTAATTTACAAAAAACTCCAAACATTACTACAGTTAAGGTCTCAAGTAATATCCATTATATCATCATGATGTTTCATTGAGTTTTACCCACAAAAGCTCATGATATATTTGTTAGTCTCTAAGGTGCCACGGGACTTTTTATTGTTGGTATATCAAGTTCTCTGTCATTCACTTTAGCTCAACACACATGACTGAAACACCCTTGACTCACCCTGTAACTCCTACTCCTTCACTAGTGTCCTATCCATGACCCCAGTGTCTGGGAGCTGTCAGTTGAGTTCTCTCCGGAGGCTTTCTCCCATCAAAAAGTCCATTTCCTGTGTAAGTCCTAACTTGTTTTGCTGAATCATAATGATATCTCTGAGTGTAATAGTAATGTCATTTGGAAGAGGGAGTTCTGATCAAGAATTTGAGAAACAGTATGCACCAGTGTAATTGAAAACTGGGAGAGACATGTATTTTCAAACTTAACTTTGGCATTTTGTGGTGTGTGTGTGGTTTTTTTTTCTTGTTTTGAACTTTTTACTAAGCAAAAGTTGCAATAGCATGTTAACAGTCTACACCTATATAGTACTTTACTTATTTTCGCATCAAGTTAATATTTAAAGAACCTGGCTAAAGTTTCTGGAGATTTGCTGACTGGAGAGCCCTCCTCCTCTGAGTACATTTAAGAGGATGAACACATTTCTAAACACCCATTCTTTTTTTAGCACTTACTTGGAGGGGAAGCTTTCCCATTACTAGAACAGTCCATATTTTATTATACCACAGTACCATAGAAGGGAGCAGTTTACATTTTTCTGGTAATGTGCAATGCGAAGTCTAGCTCCTAACAATAAAATTAATGAATTTGTCATTCTGTTTAAAATGTAGATCCTTCACTCTAGGTATTAAGATAACAGGTCAGGGGATAGCTAGAGAGCTGGCACTTTGTCATCAGATGAATTTATTTAATAATTCCTTCCCTGAAGCATTTAATTCCTGGATACAAATACCACATGTGCACATCTGTTCTCCTTTTCTTGAGAGCACCTCTCTAGTAGCAAAAAATATGAGATATCTTAACTGGTGTCAAATGCTATCCATACAGTAGTAGTTTATTTTAAAAAATTCTGTTTGAGTGACACAAATTGAAGTGTACACATATCCCCTTTCCCATGTAGCGTCCCACCCATCCAAATCAATTTTTGTCCACATCTTTCTCCCTTCCTTTCATCTGAGTTGTTTTCTTATCAGCATCTTTTTCATTCAAAACTGTATATTTCTTAGAAACATTTTATTCCAGCTTGCTCTTGGGTCAGGTTCTCAAATATGGTTAGAAAGAGCAATCTGTATTAAGATTTTGCGATAAATGTTTTAATTGTTAACCATGAAAAAGTAATGTTGCATAAATACACTAATTTCAAATTAAACTCCAAGAAGTATATCTGTGCTATTACACATTTGACAACCGAAGATGTTATTCAAAAAGGAAGAATGTTTAGTCATGGTATCAGAGCTACTGTAAAGAGGCTGGAGGGTTCCGATGGGTCATTATTTCTATCCTATCACTCAGTTTTAAATAGGCAAGTTATGGACAGTGATTAATAAAACCATGAAACATGTTCTGTATTAATGATTCTAGTTTGTGAAATGCTTCATAGTAAATTCTGAATGAACTTTCTAAATTTAACTCAGTGTGAATTAAAGAGCTGTGACAGTTTATATTGGATACAAAGACAAAAGGTTTCTGATGGCCAAGGATTAGGCTGAAGTCTAAGATGGTGTCTTGACCCCTTGCTGCCAGCAGTGGAATCTGAGTATCCAAGTGGGTGCCTCACTCCACTTCAGAATCATTCTGAAGTGTGAGGGTCTTATCAGAATCCACCAGAGCTTTTCAGACATCCCAGTCGTTCTAGTACAGTAAAACTCCATTGGTCCAGCATCTGATGGTCCGGCACTCCTGATGGTCCGGCACCATCAGGAACCCAGAAGTGCTCCGGGCAGCCAGACCATTGGAGCTGCTCTGCCCCCAGCTTCCCCGATTCAGCCGCTGCTGAAACTGACCAGCGGCTGAATC